ATTTTGGTGCCGTCGTCTCTGCTTTAAAGGTACCCCCGTGCTGGAAGAATTTGACCTTGGAACGTTTGCCCAGCGTATTTTTAGTGTGTTTTGCACAATTTTAGTTTAATTTTTTATGATATTAAAAAAAAAACGTGAAACAATTCACAAGTAGCAGGCTTTTTTACATTAGTGGTTTGAGTGTTCTGTGTGTTCTCCCTGCAAAGTGGTTGATATTGAAATATTGTGTCTTAAAAGTAAATGATTAAGCAAAACAATAAAAGTGAGGGTTATTAAAAAATCACAAATCATCCTGAAGAGAGCATGGCTGTGCTGTGCAGGCTGCAGTACCCAGCTGATCACAGGTCTCCACACAGCCCTCCACCCCTCAAAGAGCTATTTCCACACACACCAGATCAGGTTGTGCAATCCCCACCTCTCTGCTCACCCCCTCCCCAAACACAGTACATGCAGTCTCTGTACACACCAGCTCAAAACATGCCATCCTAGCCTCTCTGCTCACCTTCACCACCAACAAAGTACATGCAGTCTCCGCACACACCGGCTCAGGATGGGTCATCTCTACCTCTCTGCTCACCAACTCCTAGGAACTGGAAGGTATCATCTTCAACTCATTCCCCTCAATAAGCACCACTTACAAGGACCAACGCACTGGTGAATTCACTGATGCCAAAGCCACATACACTTCTCCCTGATATCCAACTTATATCCATCAGTCAAGAGAAGGAGAAGAAATTGTATGCACAGTGCATAGGCATAGATGGGAGAGTGAGAGCCGACCGTTATGCTGCTCTTCTGTTTCAGAACTTGGTGACTTTTAAAACCTACTGGGTGTGGACCACATTTGTTAACTTCAACGGTCCCACAGGCAAACTAGAAAATTACTTTCTAATCTTCGGGAAAGGATTATAGACATGGTGAATCAGAGATGGAATTAAGTGTCACTTAGGGATATGTTTCAGTGCTGGGGCTACTAACAGCTGACAATGTTAGAGAAGCCATACAGTATTCCAGTGTGATGTCCAGGACAAGGTCTGAGGTCATCCCCTGGATTCTGTATACCAGCAACCCCAAGGAAGACGAGGACAATAATGAAAAGAAAGAACTCCAGTACAGTATATGGTTGCCTTAGGGGACCACCTCAGACCCTCTAGATTCCTTGGCCAGTCAGTCCTACTCCCACTCTGACAGAACCTTTCTGCTAAAGAGTGTATGGTGGCCTCAAAACCCCAGGAATGGGGTCAAACAGTACATGAAGGGAAAGCCAACAGAGTGGAGCTTCTAAGTCTTTGTCCTGCTGATGCCACAAGTGGATGCACCTGTAAATTCAACATTTACACAGGGAAAAGACAGGCAGTTGACCCCTGAGAAATCCGCTGCCAGGCACAGAGATTGTGATTAATGTCCTGAGGACAAAGTTCTCACCAAAGCCCCTTGGAAGTGGAAGGGCTGCAATGTGTTTCAATGCCTGGTTGTGGACAGCAGCTGCTTCAGGAAGAGACACATGATGCAGCAAAAACAGGACTTTTCAGTGCGTGGGGCAAAAAAAACCCAATACAATATATTTTAATTCAATGTGTATACTGTGTGTTGTATTTAAATTGTTTGTGGTTTATTTTGTATGTCAAGTTGTTTATTCTTTCACATGTTTTGGCATTTGTCTTTGTAAACACTACTTTGATAAAAAGCCTCAGTGCTTTTGTTTTTGTTCATGTATTCATAATTTTACTGCAAAATTAAAAATAATAATTCTGTTTCATTCTATGTATCTTATGTTTAAAGAACTAACCTACTTCAGATCAGATTTTGAAAACAAAGGGGTGCAGCTGCAGTAAAAAGCTATAAAGCTGTGTTCTGCCATCTGAATGCTCTTCTGGAAAAAAGGTACTTCTTAATATTAAGTAATCTAATTTTCTAGCACTGTTTTATTGGATTTGAGATTTGGCCAAATAGGTGAATTACCTCAGCCATGTATTTTTCATTAAAAGATTAATGGAAGTAAAGTGTCAGAAGAATACCCTGCTTGTACATCATTCATAATCAGGGGTGTTTAATTATGTTAAAAAGTTATATGATAGGTATGTAGGTGATGGCTTTTGTACTCATCCTATAAAACAATCAAGCTGATCTTTGGCAAAGAAATGGAACAAGAAACTCACCTATAAAAAAATTAGTGTCCTTTAAGTTCATACAATGCACCCCAAAACCTGCAGTATATGGAAGTCTAGTAAAAGGGCTTTTCATTCTGAACTTTAACAATATTGTCATAAAAAATGTGTCAGGCATTTGTTGGGGAAGTGGGATTCTTACAAGGGCTGTGGTCATCTCATCAGGTGGATGCTGCACATTGGTGGTGGTTGAGGGGAGTCCCCATTACCTGTAAAGCGCTTTGAGTGGAGTGTCCAGAAAAGTGCTATATAAGTGTAAGCAATTATTAATCATTATTATTATTATTATCATCTTGAGTTTGTCTTCAGTGCTTGGAACTTGTGAAAACAAATTTAATGGTTGGATTTGGAGAATCTTGGAGATCACTTGCATGAACAATACTCCATGTTACTTAAAATAATGTTGTTTATGATGATGTTTAACTTAAGGGTGTTGTAAATGAAGCCCTGTACAGACACAGGCAGCTGTAAGCTTAAAGACCTCAGATACTCATTTATTTCATGATATAGCCATGCCAAAATAGATTAAGAAAGACACAGAAATAATTATTTTTTTAATTAATAAATCATTACACAGTGCTAACCTTCTGTGTATTGTCTTATCCTGTGTCTCTCTCTTGTGTGAACAAGTTGGTGGGTTTTTAAGTTGCCTGCCTGAAAAAATCTCTTTCCACACTGACTACAGCTGAATGGTTTCTCTCCTGTGTGAATAAGCTGGTGGGTTTTTAAACTACCTGCCTGACTAAAACTCTTCCCACATTGACTACAGGTGAATGGTTTCTCTCCTGTGTGAATAAGTTTGTGATTTTTTAAACCGCCTGCCACAGTAAATCTCTTCCCACACTGACCACATTTAAATGGTTTCTCATCTGTGTGAATAAGCTGGTGGGTTTTTAAACTGTCTGCTCGAAGAAAACTCTTCCCACACAGACTGCAACTAAAAGGTTTCTCTCCTGTGTGAATTAGTTGATGGTTTTTTAAACTGCCTGTCCTAGTAAATGTCTTCCCACACTGACCACATCTAAATGGCTTCTCTCCTGTGTGAATAAGTTGGTGAGTTTTTAAATGGTCAGAGCGACTAAAACTCCTCCCACACTGACTGCAAATGAAAACTCTCTCTCCTTTGTGTGTGCACTGGTCACTTTTTAATTTACTTGATTGATGTTCAGATGAGTCCTGATGAGAGTTCAGATTAATCTTCTCTGTAAAATCTTCAGATACTAAGGGACCGTGTATCTCACTCTCAGGCTCTGTCTTCATCATGTGCACAGAGTCCTGACCCTCAACACTCTGTCTGCTCTCTGTGTGCTGCTCACTGAGTCTCTCTTTCCCCTCTGCAGCAGTGAGCTCTGTCTCCTGCATCAGACTGGAGCCCCACTCCTCCCTACTGTGCTGCTGTTCAAGAGGAGCCCTTTCTCCAGCATCAGGGAGAGCACTGGCCACTGAGTCTGAAAACACAGGACAAGAGAACAAGACCTTTAACATGGCCTGAGGGTAGAGATCAAAAGCGTCTCAGAAAACAAAATTTAAAGTAGCAATAACTGAATAATTATCAACAATGAAGACCAAAGAAAATTTTTGATGACAATAATAATAATTAATAATAATAATAATAATAATAATAATAATAATAATAATAATAGAGATTAACATCTCTATTAACATTAACATCTATCAAACAACAAGCCATGCAAAGGCACAAGCACAAGACTACACATGCAATGCACACAAAAGTAGAAAGCTAATAATATTTCAGTTAATGTATGACTTAAGTTAATGTATGTTTGGATTATTTTATCTGCAGGGTCAGTCAAATTGGAGCTCCATGTCCTGATCTGTAAGATTAAACTCACCCAGTTCTTCTTTGAGTTCTTGTACAGAGACACAGTCAAGTACATTACAATGATCTGCAAATATTCTTGGTATCCGGATTATTAATCTTTTCTGTAAATATTAAGAGTGCAGGTGTCTTACTCTCAGGCTCCATCTTCATCATGTGCCCAGAATCCAGATCCTCGACACTCTGTCTGCTCTCTGTTTGCTGCTCACTGAGTTTCTCTTTCCCTTCTGCAGCAGTGAGCTCTGTCTCCTGCAACAGACTGGAGCCCCACTCCTCCTCACTTTGCTGCTGTTCAAGAAGAGCCCTTTCCCCAGCATCAGGGAGAGCCTCTGAGTCTGAAAACACAGGACAAGAAAAACAGTGCATTCAATTATCAATTCAGCAATAATTATCAAAAATGAATATCAAGGAAGAGTTTTGAGAAGTTAGATAATAATAATAATAATGCTAGAAATGAAAATAAAATGTAAACTGGCAAGTCAACCATACAGATGCAGCCATTCAAAATGGGTGAGGTATTTCGCGGCATACCGCGACACGCCCAC